TTAGATTCTTGTACCTATAAAAGTTTTTTGTTCCGATATCTCAACTAACACACTGATATTTATTTATTGACTCAATCCTCAAATTTTGATTTGTCTAAAAGATATTCAACTATTAATAAAAAATTGTCCAATCCTTATTTGATCAATGCCTAGGTTAGTTATTGATAAAATGTGATATTTATCGTATATTCTCAACAAAGATTCCTTTAACATTCAATTGAGTTTGATGAAATATGACCTCAATTGAGCTTGCTCAACCAAAATCATCTAAATCAAATATTTTAATGTGAACTTGAAAAAAATTATAAAATATTGTACATGTGATTACTTTTCATTTGAGAAATTTCAGGTAGAACATAAATATATGTTTTTACTTCATCGGGATGAATAGAATTTTTTTTAAGAAATTATTATTATTGCTCGATTAAGTTCTATTTTGAAAATTATTTTATTATATGAAATAATTATTTATTTAACAATTATTTTAATTGGTAGACATATATATTATAAAGAAGAGAAAGTTTAATATATAAATTCATATATTTAATTTCTCAAATTTGATTGATTGTCAAATGCTTAATTTGTTTCTTTGTGTCATTATAATTTATTTAATAGAAAAAGATATTATTATTTATGTGTGTACTTATATAAATTGTTCACCAAAATGTAACTTATTATTAATTTTAGTTAAAATGAGTAGATAATTTACTTTATAAGATTTAATCATATATTTTTTGTTTAAACAAACCCGATATATGTCATTCATTGTTTTCATCTTTATATTTTGTTTAATTGACAAAAAATATTATTATTTATGCTTGTATTTTTTTTTTGGGTAGGAAAATGGGGTGCTAAAAGGGCACCCCTGCCTGGCACATTAAATTAATCTGGTTTGGGCGATGTCCATACAATCATACAGGACCCAAAACGAGAGGCCCGAATCCGAAATACTAAAATCATGAACTCCTAAACTAAGCTTATGGCCACGATTAGCAAGATAGTCGGCCGCCTTGTTGCATTCCCTATAGACATGAGAGATTTTCACTTCCCAATTCCGATTCAAGAGCCTCTGGAATTGTTTGATGAGAATGAGATACCTTTGGTCCTCTTGATCAGTGGTAGTGAGCAGGTGGAGCGCAGCTGTCGAGTCAATTCCCACCATTACTTTTCTGTAGCCATAGTCCTAAGCTCGGTTAAGTCCTTCTATTACCCCCTTTATCTCTGCTCTAGTAATGGTACATGATCCTAGGTTCCCTGAGAAAGCAACCAGACATCTTCCCATGTGATCTCGAATCAGACCTCCAGTCGCCGCCAAAGAACCAGGCTGTCGAACAAAGCCGTCCGATTGAAGGCTGACCCATCCTTCCGGCGGTGGTTCCCATGCCAAACTGGTGGCTTCTTTCGGTGTTGATTCGTCATTTGTGAGCCTATCACTTTCCTGGGCTTGTTCCACGATCTTAGTCCAGCTTTTTATTCGTCGGGCGAGGACTTCAGCATCGAACGTCTTGTGTTGGAATATGGATTCGTTCCTCTGCTTCCATAGATACCAAGCTGCCACTGCGAAAAGCAAGCCATCCTTCTCTGAATGCAGCCTTTTCACCAACCAATCTGCAAACGGGACAGCCACAGTAAGGTAGTCATCCTTTATACCCAAAATGTTCCATACCTGTTTCGCTCTTGGACAGTTTTTGATGACATGCTCCGCGGTTTCTGGGCCTGCATTGCAAAAGCAACACTTATCATCTGTGGTGAGCTTCCTCCTTTTCCTTTCCACGTTAGTCAGTAGCCGATCATGACCCACGAGCCATAGGAAGTGCACAATTCTGTTTGGCCCCTTCCACTTCCAAATCTCCTTCCATTTCGGTGGACTTGTTGGATTTGCACCATCCTCCTCTTCATTTTGCAGCCACTCGACAGCAGCCTTATAAGCTGATTTGAGCCTAAAGCGCCCATCTGGCTCTGGTCCCCAGGTCGTGATGTCCTCTCCAAGCTCCGGGTCAGGAGTATCAGTACCTGCAATAAGGTTGAGGAGTTCATTAGGCAGATGTGGTTGTAAAACAGTCCAGTCCCACTCACCTGTTTTCGTTGTAAGCTCCGAAACTGAGGCTTCCCAACGGATCCCCGCTCCATTACTATGCACATGATCAGCCAGAATCATTCCATCCGACAGCCAAGGACTAGTCCAGAAGTTCACGTTGTGGCCACTCCGAACGTCCCAAATCAGGCTCTGTTTCACAGCCGGCCACACTTCCATCATTGCTTTCCATAGGCGCGACGACCGACTTTTTTTCATGTAAAACTTTAACCCATAGAGCAGACTCATCATTAAGAAACAACCAAACAAGTTTCATAAGATAGGCTAGATTTAGGGCATGAGCAGAACGGAGTCCCAGTCCTCCTTCTTCCTTCGGCTTGCAGATCGTCTCCCAAGTTACAAGATGTGCCTTAGACTTCCCTTGCTTCGCTCCCCACACGAAAGCTTGAATTTTTTTTGTCAATGAGGTCATAAACCGAAACCGGTATAGCCGCTGTCTGCATCGTGTAGTTGGGAAGGGCGTTTAGCACCGACATAGCTAACGTGACTCTCCCTGCAAGCGAGAGATTCCTTGATTTCCCTCCGCTTATCCTTTTGTCGATATTCTCAAGAATGTACTTGTACGTGTCCTTTGTCACACGACCATGGATCACCGGGACACCAAGGTAACGACCTAGATTGTTAGTCGGCTTCATTCCCAACATGTCGCTGATTCTTTTTTTGGTCGAGTCCTTGATATTCTTCGAGAAAAATACACAAGACTTTTGCTTGTTAACTTGCTCTCCTGAGGCTGAGCAGAACAGCTCCAAACAATGCAAAATCGCTTCTCCCTGATTTGTGGTTGCTTCTGCGAAGAGGACCAGGTCATCTGCAAAAAAAAAGATGGGTTAAAGGGGTTCCACCTTGGCCAAGTGAGATGAGTTTCCACGCCCCCGACCCAATGGCTTCCTGAATACAATGATTTAAGCGCTCAATACAGAGGGTAAAGAGATATGGAGAAAGAGGACATCCCTGTCTTAGACCCCTCGAGGGTTTGAAGCTGTCGGTTAGGCCCCCATTCCACAGAACTTGATAACTTGGAGTTGAGATGCAAGCCATAACTAAGGCAATAAAATCTTGGGGGAGCCTTGCAGCACAAAGGGTCTTCTCGAGAAAAGACCAGCTAATTCAATCATAAGCCTTCGCCAGGTCTATTTTTAGAGCCATAAGACCTTTATCACCCTTCTTAAGCGACATGGAATGAATCACTTCTTGCAGGATGATGATATTATCCGTAATGTGTCGTTGGGTACAAAGCTAGTCTGGCTAGCTTCCACCAGGTCCGGCATGAGTTTCTGGAGCCGATAGCCAAACATTTTGCAACCACCTTGTAAGTGACGTTGCAGAGTCCTATAGGTCGAAACTCCGCTATTGATTTTGGAACTTCCACTTTGGGCAGCAAGATGATGATAGTCTCATTGCAACTCTCAATCCTTTGTGGCGACCTGAAACAAGCCACCACATGATCATAGAAATCAGCACCAACTCTATCCCAACATTTTTTATAAAAAATAGCATGAAAACCATCCTTCCCCGGGGCCTTGAGTCCTCCCATATCTCCTAAGGTTTGCTTGATTTCCACGGGGGTGGGGATTGAGGCCAATCTTCTCATTTCCTCTGCCTGCAAGGTTTTGAAATTTGCTGGAATATCGTTGGAGGAGATATCTTCTTCAGTGAAGAGTTTGCTATAGAACTCTCGAGCCATGTTCTTAAGCACGTCATCATCCTCGATCCAATTCCCGTTGTCATCCTGCAACTTAGTGATTTTATTTCTTCTTCTTCGACTGATTGTGGCATTGTGGAAGAAGGGTGTGTTGCGGTCGCCCTTGGTAATCCAATTGGTCCTCGACTTCTGCATCCAAAGCATCTCCTCTTCCCAAAGCGTTTGTTCCAGCTCCTCCCTCACCGCAGCTTCCTGTTGTAGCGATGTCTCTGAAGGCGACTGATCATTATGCTGCTCCAAACTAGTTAGCTTTCTGGAGAGTCTTTTCTTCCTGGCGAAGATATTCCCGAACACTTCCTTATTCCAAACGCGCAGAGTATCCTGTAGTTTCTGCACAGAGAGCAGAACATCCCTTCCCCGGGTCCAACAGGCGTCAAGAGTAGTGAAAAAATCTTTGTGAGCAAGCCACGGGGCCAGAAAACGGAAAGGTCTCACCTAGTAAGGGCTTGCTGTCTCTTTCGCACTTGCGACTAGAATCGGCCGGTGATCAGAATGAAGTTTATGCAGGTGCTTATTACAGGTGTCTGGGAATTGCCTAAACCACTCCTGGTTGCAGAGAGCTCTATCAAGCCGTTGAGAGAGTCTACCATTTGACCAGGTGAATTTAGGTCCCTCAAAGCCTACATCTATAAGGCCACAATCGGCGATGCAATCGTTGAACTCAGAGACTCGGTTGGGATTGAATTTAGCTCCTCCTTGTCTTTCTGAGGGGCTGGTCACCGAATTGAAATCCCCCACCAAGAGCCAGGGGCTAGTTATCTGAGCTTCCATTCTACGGAGAGCATTCCACAGGGGACGCCGATCATAATTGTTAGGCTTCGCATAGATTGCTGTCATGAGAACTGAGACCTGGTCTTTATCTGTGCAACGAAAATGGAGAAATTGAGGGTTACGGTTCACAACATCAACAGTAATGTCAGATGAGTTCCAGAGAACCCAAATTCCTCCAGAGAAACGAACAGCATCAACTAACTCAAAGCGGTCATAACCCATAGTAGCTATCACATCTAACGCGTCTTTGCCGCTGATCCGCGGCATAACGATGAACACTACATTGGGACGGTGGACACGCACATAATCTTTGAACGAGGGGAGGAAATTATGGTGCTTCGCACCTCGACAATTCCAACTAAAGACCTTAAACATTAAAAAAACAGAGAGTAGAGGTAGCGTAAAACTTCCCTGACGGAACGCTGACTGAGATTAGCGGTGACCGTCCACCTCCATATCTCCATTCGTAATGACAGGGGCGGCCAACGTAGACCCCATTCCCTCTGATTTTCTTTGATCAATCGATCTTTTTGTCTGATTCGACTCCAAATCAGTGCTATTTGGGGCGGATTCGCCATCCCGGGCTTCCTTCTCGTTGTCGCCAGGAGGGTCCGGTCCTTTCTTCTCCGGTGGGATCCCTGCCTTTGGCGTTATCTCTGTGTTGTTATGAGAAAGTGGAGCTTTCTCCCGATCCCGAGCACGCTCTGGGTTCTTCTGGGCCGGGGTGATTTTTTGATTAACCTTGCTCGGTTGGATCCCACATTGTCTTCCGCCAATATTCACACTGTTGGGAACTTTCACTGGGCTACAATCAAGAATTTTTGGAGTTGGCCCATTGTTTCCCTGGGCCTTTTTTTGCACTCTCGGCGCAGATGTTGGATCAGGTGTCTTGGGAAAAGTGAGCATAAATACTAAAAGAAGAGAGAGAGCTTAATAAATAGATCAATAATAAAATTTTTTGTTGGTAAAAAAATGTCCACCTAAGCAACTTATTATTTCTCAATGCTTATGTGGCAATATGTTACTTTTAAATTGCCATAATATACCGAATATAAATATAAATATAGATTAGCCATTCAAGACCCCGCGATGCAGTTTGGGCTTTTGAAAATATGAATATTGTAAATTCTTAAGAGTTCGGCCCAATGTAGTCTCTGGTGCAAAGTTGGCCCTGGTTTTCTGGCCGAAGAGTTCAGCTCTCATTTTCTCGAGAGTCGACACACAAACAAGTTTCTGGAGAGAAAAGGAATAGCAAACAAACACCTCACTGCGTCCCCAATTCTCCAGAACCATCCACCAACTCGGCGGACTGAAATCACCTCATTCAATTCAATTCAATCCCACCGAAAAAGCTCCTTCCATCACTTTCCCGAGATTTCTTCCCCCACCGCTTCAATTTTCCACCTATATATCTCCTTCTCGACCTCCGCCGATCACAACTCACAATCGCTCCTCAGGGAAATAAACATCAGGCATACAGCAACATCACTCAAAAGCTTTCCGTCTTACATTTCAGTTAGTTGAATCGAAGCTCCTCCGTCCGTCAATGGCGACGAAAACAGAAGGCAAAGCAATCGGCATCGACCTCGGCACCACCTACAGCTGCGTCGGAGTATGGCAGAACGACAGGGTCGAAATCATCGCCAACGACCAGGGCAACCGCACCACCCCTTCCTACGTCGCCTTCACCGACACCGAGCGCCTCATCGGCGACGCCGCCAAGAACCAGGTCGCCATGAACCCTCACAACACCGTCTTCGACGCCAAGCGCCTCATCGGCCGCAAATTCTCCGACCCCTCTGTTCAGGCCGACATGAAGCACTGGCCCTTCAAGGTCATCCCTGGCCCAGGCGACAAGCCCATGATCGTGGTCCAGCACAAGGGCGAGGAGAAGCAATTCGCCCCTGAAGAGATCTCCTCCATGGTCCTAATCAAGATGAGGGAAATCGCCGAGGCCTTTTTGGGGCAAAGCATCAAAAACGCTGTCGTCACGGTCCCGGCCTACTTCAATGATTCTCAGAGGCAGGCGACGAAGGACGCCGGCTCAATCGCCGGTCTCAACGTCCTCCGAATCATCAACGAGCCGACCGCCGCCGCAATTGCTTACGGTCTCGACAAGAAAGCGTCGAGTCGCGGCGAGAAGAACGTCCTCATCTTCGATCTCGGCGGAGGAACTTTCGATGTCTCTCTGCTGACGATCGAGGAAGGGATCTTCGAGGTGAAGGCAACCGCCGGAGACACGCATCTGGGAGGCGAGGATTTCGACAACCGGCTGGTGAGTCACTTCGTGGCGGAGTTCAAGCGGAAGAACAAGAAGGATATCAGCACCAACGCTAGAGCTCTGAGGCGGCTGAGAACCGCGTGCGAGAGGGCGAAGAGGACTCTGTCTTCCACTTCACAGACCACAATCGAAATCGATTCCCTCTACGAAGGGATCGATTTCTACTCCACCATTACCAGAGCTAGGTTTGAAGAATTGAACATGGATTTGTTCAGGAGGTGTATGGAGCCCGTGGAGAAGTGCCTCCGCGATGCCAAGATCGACAAGGGGCAGATAGACGACGTCGTTCTGGTTGGCGGTTCGACGAGGATTCCCAAAGTCCAGCAGCTGCTTCAGGACTTCTTCAACGGGAAGGAGCTCTGCAAGAGTATCAATCCTGATGAGGCGGTAGCTTACGGAGCAGCGGTTCAGGCGGCGATTCTGACCGGAGAGGGAGACGAGAAGGTTCAGGATTTGCTTCTTCTTGATGTTACCCCTCTCAGCTTGGGTCTCGAGACCGCCGGCGGCGTGATGACGGTGTTGATTCCGAGGAACACGACGGTTCCGACGAAGAAGGAGCAGGTTTTCTCGACCTACTCCGACAATCAGCCCGGGGTTTTGATTCAGGTGTACGAAGGGGAAAGGGCGAGAACCAAGGACAACAACTTGCTAGGGAAATTCGAGCTCTCTGGAATTCCACCGGCGCCGAGGGGAGTCCCTCAGATCAATGTGGTCTTCGACATCGACGCCAATGGGATCCTGAACGTGTCGGCGGAGGACAAGACGGCGGGAGTGAAGAACAAGATCACGATCACGAACGACAAGGGGAGGTTGAGCAAGGATGAGATTGAGAGGATGGTTCAGGAGGCAGAGAGGTACAAGGCAGAAGATGAGGAAGTGAAGAAGAAGGTGGAGGCGAAGAACTCGTTGGAGAATTACGCGTACAACATGAGGAATACGATTAAGGACGAGAAGATTGCCGGGAAGTTGGATTCGGCGGATAAGGAGAAGATCGAGAAGGCGGTGGAGGAGACGGTGCAGTGGCTTGATGGGAATCAGCTGGCGGAGGTTGAGGAGTTGGAGGACAAGCTGAAGGAGCTGGAAGCTCTCTGCAATCCGATCATTGCTAAGATGTATCAGGGTGGCGCTGGTGGTGATGTGCCGATGGGCGGCGGCGGTGGTGGCGGCGGCTACGGCGGTGGTGATGCATCGAGTGGCGGTGGTGCTGGTCTTAAGATTGAAGAAGTTGATTGAAGTGGGATGGGATGGAATGATCTGATTATCGAAGATCGTTGGGAGTGGGTTTTGGGATGTGTAATCATGGTTTGTAGCTAAATAAATGGCCAATGTATTAAGGGGTTTTCTTTTTTCTTTGGCAGGAAGTAGTAATGTAATAGTTGAGCTTTGTAGATAGATAGGAAGTGTTCTTGGCAGATCCCTATGAATAAGGTGGTCTTAAGTTTCGTGTATGATCGTAATCATGAAGTGTTTAATTCTAAACAGCACTCTTCGTTAATTAATTTTTAACAAGTGTTGAGCAGAAGTGCAGAACATAGCAAGCAGAGTGGTGCTTTGCTGATTGGGCCCAACCCAATAGAACGTCGTGATGGTAATGAGTCTATTGAATGCCTTAAGTGTTGGCAGCCCAGAGAGGATTGTAAGAGGTGTGTTTAGAGTTTAGACTTTTGACCGGCGTGCAATGGTTGTCGTGCAAGATTGTCAACCCGCGGGTTGACTCGGACCCAGTTGAACTAGTGGGTCAAGGGTTAATGGGTCACCCATTTTAGCCTGGTTTAGCCCGAAAATATGGAAAGCGTCATTATATTGTACTTATCCTGATAAATTATATTAAATCTCATCTAACATATGAGTTATAACATATAATATTACACCAAAATAACATTTCGTACTTAGATTCAACATATAATGAAAATTCACACACTTATATAACATTAATATTCAAATGTTCAACTTAGGATTCCAAAGATTGAGTTAGGCGAAATGAAAAATCGGAAAATAAGCGAATTTCGCAAAAAAAAGAAAAAAATGACACAATTTAACCTCCAACCCGGTACATTGTGGCGGTCAACCCGGCGGGTGCGTGCGGCCCGTTTATCTCATCGGGTCAGGGTCAAAGTGGGTCAACCCGCGGGTCGACTTGCGGGGTGACAACCTTGATTGGGTGTAAATCAGGTGGGTTCGTCGGGTTATGAGCAACTAGCGTGGCCCTGGCCATTTGGTTTGACAATACACCTTATTGTTGTATAATTTTTTTGGAAACACGTGATAAAAATAGTGAATTTTAGCAGGTAAGAGACATGAATGATGCAACGAATCAAAAATCGTTCTTATGAACCAAAATCAAGTACCTGTTACCTTGTGAAACAATATTGTTTCTGATAATATGATGAGGTGGAGTAAGTTTTATAGAAACCGAATTCCAGAAAATCGAATAAAAAATCGCCTATCCCGTCGGTTTTCGGGAAATGAGCATCTCACAATCGTTGCTAGCTTTTACTCAGCTCGTTGACCGATTAATTTGCTTTATAAAACTTTCATCTTGTCGTCATTGTGCTTTCTGGTTTTTGTCAGGCCATGATAAAATATAAGGAAATCAAGAACGAACAACACGATTTGAGATAGGAACCGCCGTTGTCGTATCCCTAGAAAATGGTGGTAAACACGGACTCACCTGCCAAAATGGTTTGGATTGAGATTTTTATCGGGTATCAAGGAACCATGTGATTATAAATTAGACTTGAACAAAACGGGCCAAAACTTGAAATTCAGCCTGTTTGATCGACCCATGCCAAATTCTAATTATTCTTTACTTTTAAACTTTCTATTTGAAAATAAAAAATAGTTAAAGAAAAGAGATGCCTGCAATTCGCCATTTTCACATCACTTATTCGGGAATAAAACCATAGAAATCCAAAAGGAACTGAAAATGTTTAGGATCGTTTTAATGTTTATAATAACCAAATAGATCTTTCTGTTTAGTTTTTTACTAACAAATACCAAACGATTCCAAAATACACTATAATTTGATCATTATGATATCAAATAATTATATAATATATATTTGAAATGATAAAAATTGGACTAATTGGGTTGGTCGAGGTTGAACCATTTCTTTAAAATACATTATATTTTAGCCACTAAGGTATAAAATAATAGCATAATATATATTATGCCAGAGAAAATAGCTTGTTTTAGAATGTCAAACCAATGATGTTCATTTGTTTTACTTGATGCTCATTCAACTCTTTTATTTTATGGTTAGCGGTTAGCCCATTAGATACCATGTATTAGTTTATTGTTAAATTTTTTATTTTTACCAATAAAAAGAAGTATTGTTTTTGCCTTTTCATATATATTTTATCACCACAGAGAAATAAAAAGGCTCAAAGAAAAAATTGACACTCCTGGACCCGTTTAAATCCTCATGTGTACGGTAAGTTGGCCCGTTCCACAGAGGAAAGAGAAAAAAATTGACACTCCCTATTCTACCCTTCCTACAAACGCTCCTGGAGCAGGGATTTTGAAATAGGGGAAGGTTTTTTCCTCCCTGCTATTATATGTTTTTAATTTAAAAAGATACAACAAATGTACTTAGTGTGATTGGTTATGATCCTTGCTTTTCTTTAAATGGTCATGGTTCAAATCTCAGTACGTGTCTTTTTAATGAATAAAAAAAGTAATTGTGAAGACCAAAATGTCCTTCCTACTTTCACTCTCGTTGCAGGAAATTTGAAATGGGGCTCCCGTTTTTCCCTTCGGCGTATTATATTATGTGTAGATGCAATCAAAAGTGCGATTCTACCTAGAAGCGGAAAAGGGGTAAAATCGTAAAACGTAGAATTAAAGCGTAAAAGCGTATGTTTTTTACTCATACTGTAAAAGAACTAAAAATATGTTAAGTACGGCATATACTATGAAAAATATGAGTGCACAAAATTTAGATAAGTTAATAAATACTTGCAATTCATGTCTAAAGTAGAGCAACTTATAGCCTCTTAATAATAAGTTCATAAACATATATCTTATCAAGAAGCTACCTTCCCCTCCATGCTAATGAATTTGAGAAGAGTCTGGACGGTGAATTAGATTACTTTATTGAAGTTCAGAATGCATCAAAGTATCTGGTATGTATCTTTTAATCTTAAACGTATCATACTGTCGGTGATTTATTTTAAAATATACTTTTTATAATTAATTTCATGAAAAGAATACCCATTCAGTGAAGTAAAAGCGTTAAAACGTAAAGCTTTTTAGTGAACTAGAAGGGTAAAAGCGTAAGTTTTTAAGTTTTATAGCGTAATTTAGTCTGATTTTATACACTAAAGTTTTTACATAGAAACGAAAGCATTTTGGTGACCTAGAAGCGTAAAACCGTAAGTTTTTAAGTTTTAAAGCACGATTTTGACTACATTGGACTTATGAGTAAGTTGGATTAAAGGTTTAGGTTTATCGGGTTACATGTTAGGGTTATAGGATGAATTGGGTCACTAGTCATTCAGGTTCGGATATATCGGATTACGGGATGTTCATTTGCGTGTTCAATTGGGTTATTGCCTTATTGGTCGTTGGGATTTGGATTGCGAAATTCGAGTTTTTGTTCAATCGAGTTACGAATAAGGGGTTCATCGGGGTGTCGATCAAATAAGTTACAAGTTAATCGGATTCTAGGTAGTTGGGCTTTAAATCGAGCTTGATAAACACAAGAGTTTTAAGTGAGGTTGCTTTAAATCGAGCTTCCGTGTGTGCGAGAAAAGAAATCATGAGCGACAACAACTTTAACTCAGGTTTGTATCTCTAAGTTTGATGATGATCCCACCAATTGAGCTTGTTGATGGAGAAAATACACCGGTCTAAGGAGCATTGGACATTTAAGAGGGGAACCTACAAAAGGAGAAGAGTTGCCAAGACCTTAGAACAAGGTCTTGCAGGGGAATCAATTTAAGGATATGAAAGAAAAACTTTTTGTTTAGATCGATTGATGAGAGCATTTTGGAGACTATCACTCAAATGGAACAACTAAACATCAATGTGATTCTGTGAAAACAAGTTATCAAGGAAGTGTTAAGCTACAAAAAGCACACCTGCAGGCTCTTAGAAGAAATTGAGATTCTGGAAATAAAGGATGGAGAATTGTGACAAAATACTTCGGGACAGTCATGGTAGTTTGTCCCGTTACAGAATCCAAAGACATGAATGAGTTGTCTTGATGCATTGTAGAGAAATAAATTTTGTATGTAACTCATGGCTTCAGAGGAGAGGTGTAAGAGGTCAACGTAGATTTGGTTTTCAAGGCATAGGAGGCAAAATCTTGAATGTTAAAATGGTGGGATGTTTCAGGTGTCACATATTGGAAATTTCAGGAAACGAGCACACTACTCCAAGTCTGGATCTACTTTAAGGCAAGTCTAATGTTGATATGAAAAAAGATTTCATGCTAATGTACTATGTTGAGGGATCTCGTAGTCGTAGACTCCATTGTGTAGGAGGAAGCACTGTCTCTTACTCAACTAAACAGCTAACACCGCGTATTTTCATACTCACGAGTTGTTGGGGCAGGAGTGGGCATTGGTGTAACTTTGTAAAAAAAAATTAATTCTTGGAGTAAAATTATAAAAAGTTGGAGATGGATTTCAATTAAATGTGGCTAAACACAAGCAACCCATTGGAATTCTCCTTTATGTCACAAGAATAAGGCCTAGCATAATGTATTTAGCATGTTTGCTTAGTAAGTATATGGAGGCTCCCACTAGATAACACATGTTTGCTGCCAAAAGAATACTAATGTACCTAAATGACACCATGAGTCATGAAATCTGGTATAGACGAATGGATAGAGAATTTTGTAGGTTAGTTATATTGGCAGTGATTACGCTATGATATTGATGACATGAAGAGTAGGGTTGTTAGCGGTGCGGTTTCGGTTTTAACCGAACCGCAAAGTCGGTTAGCCGATGCCGAGAAGGAGGTGAAATCTCCAATCGCCATCGACACCGACTGTACTATCGGTTAGTCGATAACCGTAGCCGAAGGTTTCGGTGGGATGGGCGGTTAGCCGAGAAGGCCTGGAAATTGGGGAGTCGGAGCTACGGGCAAGGTGAGGATGTGGACGACGTCGATTTGTGTGATTGGACTGATGCGCGGCGGAGTGGGGATGTGGACAGCGGCGCTCCAGTGGTGGTGTGGGTATCTCTTCTCTAGCGGTCAAGCCTGCCTCTCCTTGCCATGCTCATGCATGTCACTGGAAGTCAAAGAGGTAGAGGAAGAAGGCCATGGCAGATTTCGATGTGAAGAACTAAGGCGAGCCTGCGATTCCGATTAGCGACGACAAGGTAGACGGGGCGGCGCCGACGACTACGAGATTGATTTATTGGCGTCGTCTACGAGGATTTCACAAGCAATTTTGCTGTCTCGCAAGAGCCGTCGTCGGAGCAAAGATAAGGGGTGGCGAGGTCGGAATTTGGGAGAATTGAGATGGAATGGATTTAGGGTTTGTGTGGGATTTTGGTGGAGAAGGGGAAGTGGGGACGATTTAGAGGAAGGAAGGAGGTTGGTTATGAGTTAGAGGAATATTTGAAGCCTGGATCGGAAGGAAGGAGCTGGGTGGAGAGGAAGAGGAAGGTGGGGATCGGGAGGATGAAGGAGTTGGGGGCAGCGAGAGGTCAAAGGGATGGTTGGTCGGTTAGATCGGTTAGCAACCGATAACCGTCGGTTAGTGAATAACTTCAAATTGGGCCAACCAACATCGAGACCAATATCTTATTTTTCGGTTTTCGATTAGCCGATAAACCAAATTTTCGGTTCGGTTTTTCGGTTGGCTGACTAACCGGTCACTGATT